CCCCCTGCTGGCCGCTCGGTGTCATTGCAGATGCCACTTTCCGCTCCAGCTGGTGCTGCGGGGCGTGCATGGCTCCCGTCTGCCGGGCTGGACACGGGCTGGTCCAGCAACTTGCTTCCGGGACTGGGATTCTGCCAGCTGCCGTCATCAGAGACAGGGCTGGAGACTGGGAAGCCCCAGGGCCTGCAGTGCCCCCTGCCCGCTCCACTCCCACCCCCACCCTGGCTGGCACCCCACCTGGCTAAAGCTTCGACTCCCCGACTCCTCCAGCTCCTGGCTATGGGCCCAGTGAACACTTTTCTTATGTCCAAGTTCTTTGTAATGCAAGTGATGTGTGCTCATTGTAGAAACATTAGAAAACACAGAAAGGCAAAATAATAAATGCTGATGATAAGGTGTATTATAATAAATGCTGATGATAAGGTGTATTATAATAAATGCTGATGATAAGGTGTATTATAATAAATGCTGATGATAAGTTGTACCGCATTTCAGACCACCCCACTTCCCAGAGAGAACAGGTAACAGTTTGTTAGACGGTCGGCCAGCTGTTTCGGAAGCACATAGATGGGAGGTCTGTGGTGGAACCAGGAGCACTGGGTCACATCTGTGAGATGATAATAAACATACACACCCGTCTCTGCCCCCAGTTCCTGGCACAGAGCTCCGGAAACCCTTGGGACTTCCTCGGTGAAAGGAATGTGCTTTGTTCTAATGAGAGGAATCCGGGTGGGTCCCTGGATGGGGCTGGTCACCCCAAAGACCAGGCCACGCTGTGAAGCTTGGAACCTTCAGCCCTGCCCCCACCCTCGGGAGGGGAGACTGTCGATGATGGATCCCACCTGTGTGATGAAGCCTCCTGGCCATCCTCGAGGTACAGGGTTCAGGAAGCTTTGAGTTGTTACACGTCTATGTGCGGGAGGCACAGCCACCTCTGGGCTCAGGACCCTGCCAGGCCTCGCCCTGTTACCTCTTCCTGTAGCCGTCTTTGTGCGTCCTTGGTAATGAGCTGGTAACCTAGTAGGTAAACTGTTTACCTGAGTCCATTCTAACAAATTATCAAATTCATCTGTGCTTCTAACCGACCAATTTATAGCTGGTTGGTCAGAAGCACAGGTGCCAACCTGGACACAAGGTTGGCATCTAAGTGTGTGTGTGTGTGTGAAGTGACTGAGGGGAACTGTAGGACCTGTCATCAATATTCTTTTTCGATTCTCCATCCACCCCACTACTTATACGAACCACTTATTACCACTTATAATTATTGCTGGTCAATTCCACCTGGCCAAAGAAGCCCAGACACAGAATTATATGTCACTATACTAATTTTACTCCAAATATTCTTAATCATAACATTTTCTGCCACAGAGTTTATCTTAATTTATATCCTATCCAAAGCCACACGGGTTCCCTTATCACCACCCGGCTGGTGTCAGAGTTGTTCCGTGTGGAGAGCCTGCACATCGGCGTCAGAAGTGCTGTGTGAGCGTGGGGAGCACAGCTGTGTTGCTCCAAGACAAGATCACACTGCTGTTCACTAGCTGTGCAATCCCAGGCAAGTTACTTGACCTCTCTGCGTCTCCATCTCCTCCCTAGTAAATTACAATGGGAACATGGATGTCATCCATGGACAGGAATGGTCTGGGCCTCAGTGAGCTCACTGATGCCTGGGAAGTGCCTAGAACAGTGCCTGGCAGAGAGCACTGACCTCGTTATGTGCATATGCACTTGCTTAAAGACATTTGGCATCTACCACAGAGTCCAGAGCTGAACCTGGGTCAGGGTAGCAGGGTGAATGGTGGCCCCTCAAATTCATGTTCATGTGGATCCTTGAATTCGACCTTATTTGGAATAAAGATCTTTGCACATGTAATGAAGAATTTCAAGATGAGGTCATCCTAAATCAAATGACGGGCACCTTTATAAGAAACGAGACGGGACCGGCCAGTGTTGCTCAGTGGTTGAGCATTGACCTATGAACCAGGTGCTCATGGTTCGACTCCTGGCCAGGGCACATGCCCGGGTTGCGGGCTCAGTCCCCAGTGGAGTGTGCAGGAGGCAGCTGGTTGATGATTCTCTCTTATGAATGTTTCTATGTCTCTATCCCTCTTCCTTCCTCTCTATCTAAAAATCAATAAAGAGAAAAAAAATTTTTTTAAAGAAACGGAGAAGGCAGCCATTAGAAGTGGGGCAGAGACTGAGGGGCTCAGCCACAGCCCAGGAACCCCAGGAGCCACCAGAAGCTAGAAGAGGCAGGAAGGGTCCCCCCCCCCAACCCCTTCAACACTTTCATCTTAGACTCTGGCCTCCAGACCTGGGAGAACATAAATGTCTATTGTTTTAAGCCAGCTAGTTTGTGGTCATTTGGATAGCACCCATGGGACACAAATACACCAGGTACTATGGACTGAACTGTGTGCCCCCAAATTCCTATGTTGGACCTTAATGTGACTATATTTGGAGGTGGGGCTCTAGGGGCTAATAGATTAAATGAGGTCATAAAGGTGGGGGCCTAATTTGATAGGACTGGTGGCCTTAGAAGAGGAAGAGATCTCTCTGTCTGTCTCCACACCTGCACAGAGGCCGTGTGAGAGAGGAGGTGGCCCCTCCAAGCCAAGAGAGGAGGCTTCCGAATGAAACTGCCTTGCCAGCACCTTGGTCCCAGACTTCCAGTCTCCAAAACGATGAAGCCACCGGTTCGTGGTATTTTATTATGTCGGCCTAGCTGACTGACATACCAGGTAACCCAGCCCTCAGCGATGTGGGGATCGCCCAGGAAGGCACGGGCCAGCACCGGAGGCCAGCACGCTGGGCTCAGCGGCCCTCAGGAGCTCGATCCAGCAGCATCAGCAGTCTGACCACGTGTCACTGGAACGCGGCTGGCAAGCAGGCCACAGAAGACAGGGACCTGGCGGGGTGGCCCGAGAGCCCAGGCAGAGTCCAGGCCCCGCAGGCCAAGGGCTGCGCCAACAGCACTGTTGTGAACCTCAAAGACGGTGCTCCCTGAAGGTCACGAGCTCTGAAAAATGACCCGCAGGGACCACGAGGAGCTGGACGTGGGAACAGGAAATAGCTGAATCAGATTCATCTTGGAAAATACGAACTCATCCATCTGGGTAAAATTAATCCAAAATGCAGGATGAGACAGCACAGCATGGGACAGGGAGGGGGCTGGCAACCCTCAGGGCAGCCGGAAGGGCCAGCAAGGATCTCATCTGGGTGCCCTCTCTGATTTTTTGGGGGTGGTCTTGGTGTGGGGAGCAGGAGGCTGGGGACATAGGCACTTGGGAACCCCAAGCCAGGGTTTTGGGAAATAGGGGCCTGAGGTCTTAGCTTCCTATCTGGCTGGACAGTGACCTGGTGGTCCAGGGAGAGGAGCATGCCATCCCTGACCTTGCCCGCTGGTGCCCAGGCCTCCACGCAGTGGGCACTGAGGCTCTCCTACCCTCACAAAACCTCACTGCACCTGTGGAAGCCCTGTGTTCCTCAATTTTGCAAGTTGCTCCGTGCTTTAAATACTCACGTGTGATGGATCATTAAAAGCTGCCTCTGCCCCCCAGGACAGAACCCAGGTGCCCTGGCCAGAGACAGTGGACATTAGAAGAAAAGGAAATGGTCTTCTCAGGGGATAGAGGGCTGCTCCCTGAGGAGAGGTGGAACCCACCGGAGGGGTGGAACCGACCAAGGCTTCCACCCTTTACAGAGCCTCCTGGGTGTGTGTTCGGCGGCTCAGGAGGGCAGGCTAGGAGCTGGTGTGGGAGGCTGAGCCCTGGGCGAGGCACCTGCCTCCCTCAGCCCCGTGCCCGCTGCATGTGGGGTGATGGAGGAGAAGGCTGAGGCTGGTCCCATCTGGCCTGTCCCACTTAGTCTGCTCCACTGCTCTAACCAAGAGACTCCAAAACGTAGTGCCTCAAGCAGGAGAGACACAGGAACGCTCAGTATCTCCAAGACGTCAGCTTTCCCAACCCGATCTGTAGATTCAGCGAAATCCCAATCTTGGAAGAGGAATTGCTGGCTGTGATTTTTTTTTCTAATTGGATATGGTTGCTGAACTGGCTTTCAAAAAGACCTCCCACAAATTGCCAATTCCCTCACACCTTCAACACGTGTGATTAAGTGTTTAAACGCTCGACAAGGCGGCAGGTGGGCTTGTCTCGCCTGTGTGTGCACTTCTCCGATGATTGGACAGGTCAGGCAACATGGCACACGGTCATGAGCAGCGTTTCTTCTGTGACGTGCCTATTGCTGCTCTTGCCAATTTTTCTATTAGGTCATTGTTCCTTATTTACCTGTGGACAATTTCATAATTACATGAATTAGACTTAACTTCAAAGTGTGTCACAGACACTTTCCTCTGGGTTACTTTTAAATTTTAAACTTGTATGTAGTCAAGACTATCATTCTTTTCTTTCCGTGTTTCAGGTTTATGGTGACACTTGGACAATAAAAACATTCATCCCCTTTCCAGAACCTTCTTCGTTTGATCCATCTGGATCTTATTTTGGTGTGAGGAGTGAGGGAGGGCCTCGACTTCCATTCTTCCCGACGGCCGCCCGCTGTCCCAGCGCCATTCAACTGAAACCTCCGGGTTGGAAGCGGCCGCTGCACCAGCGCGTCCCGGCTCCGGGGTCGGCTCCGCTGCGCCTTCCCAGACGCCGCGCCGCCTGGTCTCCCGGGTCACCGGCCCGGCCCCGCCCTTAAAGGGAGGCGTGTCCTACGGTGCTATTTGCATAGAGGCGTGTCCTACGGTGCTATTTGCATAGAGGCGTGTCCTCTGGAGCCCCACCGAACCCTCATTTGCATGGGGCGGAGCCTGTCCCACCGTGGAGGCCCGCGCCGCTTCCCCTTCCAGTCGGTTCCCACCGCCTTCCTTCCCCGCCGCCTGCCCGCCGCCCGCCGCCTCCTGCCTCCTGCCCGCTGCCCGCTGCCCCCTGCCCGCTGCCTCCTGCCTCCTGCCCGCTGCCCGCTGCCCGCTGCCCGCTGCCCGCTGCCCGCTGCCCGCTGCCCGCTGCCCCCTGCCCGAGGCCCAGGCCCGATGCTCCCGAGACGGCGGCCGGCGCGGGTCGGGACCCCCTGCGCCGTCTCCTCCGCGGTGCGCTTCCCCGGCGTCGCCATCTACTTGGCGGAGCCGCGCATGGGCCGCAGCCGCCGGGCCTTCCTCACGCGCCTGGCGCTCTCCAAGGGCTTCCGGGTGCTGGACACCTACAGGTGCGGGGTCGTGGCAGGTGGCCTGTCTGGGGGCGGGGCCGCCTACCTGACCAGGTGACGCTTGAAGAATGAATAGCGCTCCCCTGGCTGAGCCGAGGCTGGCAGGTGCGGAGTGAAGCGGAGGGTGGCCGGCCTGGGCACGGGCTCTTTCCCTCTGCCCAGCTCCGAGGTGACACACGTGGTGATGGAGCAGACCTCAGCCGAGGAGGCCGTCCGCTGGCAGGAGAGCAGGCCGGCCCCGCCCCCAGGTGGCACCCACCCGGCCCTGCTGGACATCAGCTGGTTCACAGAGAGCATGGCAGCTGGGCAGCCGGTCCCTGTGGAGGGCCGGCACTGCCTGCAGGTGAGCTGGGTGGAGGATTGGTCGGGCACAGAAAGGCCCAGCAGGTGGAAGCTGAGCTGGGCCGGTGACGGGCAGACGTGTCCAGTGAGGTGGGCAGTGAGGGCTCTGCCCAGATCGCCATGACAGGCCGTCCCACCTTCTGCTCTCAGTTTCTTTGGGGCCCACTTGTGTGTAGCCCCCAGTAGTCTCGCCCCCTCAGAGTGGGCTCCTTCTGTCCTGGGTACCTGAGAGCCCCAGGTGACTGCCCAGGCGAGGCAAGACTTCGAGGGCTGCCTGTCCTGAAGCTTCCAAGCGGCCTGTTCACTGCTTGTCCCCAGGTGGCTGTGCGGAGGGAGGTGCTGCCAAACCCAGTGTGGATGCCACCCTATGCCTGCCAGCGTCCCACGCCCCTCACACACCACAACACCAGCCTCTCGGTGAGCCAGGGGACCCAGCCTCCCTGAGCTGGGGCCAGGCCTGCTCCTGTGAGCACTCCCCACTCTGCTCTGTCCCAGCCGCGGGGACAGGGGGGTTGAAGCTGGAGGGATGGGTGAGGCTCCCCACCCACCCTGCCCTCACGAAGGGCCCCTCCTTGCAGGAGGCGCTGGAGATGCTGGCAGAAGCCGCGGGCTTTGCAGGCAGCGAGGGCCGCCTCCTTTCCTTCTCCAGAGCAGCCTCCGTGCTCAAGGCGCTGCCCTGCCCCGTCACAGCCCCGAGCCAGCTGCAGGGCCTGCCCCATTTCGGAGAACACTCCTGCAGGATCGTCCAGGTCGGTGCTCACCACACTGAGCAAGGTGTGCGTGCAGGTGGGTGTCGGGGAGGCTGGAGCCTGGTGACAGTATCTGGCTCTGTGTGCAGCCCAGCTGGGAGGAGCCGCGGGCTCCCAGTCCAGCGTGCCACCCTCCACCCGACACCTCGTGCATGAGGCCACAGCACCTGCCCAGGCGGCTGAGAGGACTCGGGCTGCAGGCTGGTCTCGGGCACTGCTGGCATCGGCCCACGCTGTCCGGGATGTGGCGGAGCAGCCTGCGTGGAGCACCTGTCTAAGTGCAGTGTTTGAGGAAAGCCGTGCTTTTGTGCAGTCACGGGAGAGCACATCATGGCAAAAGAGGCTTTTGAATTCAGTTTGCTTTTAAATGAAGTGGCATTGAGCTCATCACCTATGTTTTAAAGGTGATTATTTGCATAAACTGCGACTTATCTGAGGGAGAAGCTCTGGGGCACAGTCTCCATTTGCAAGTCCCTCAGATCCTGACCCCGCAGGGCCCCCTGCTGAGCGTGGGGTCTGCTCTGTGGTCAGGCTGGGCTTGGCTTTGTCTCGGCCACAGGAGCTGCTGGAACACGGAGTGTGTGAGGAGGTGGAGCGAGTCCAGCGCTCAGAGCGGTACCAGAGCATGAAGGTACACCGGCAACGCCGGGGCACACCCAGTCCTCCCCGGGGACCCACCCACCGGTCAGAGGGGGCCTCTGAGGAAGTGGCAGCTGATGTCTGATTCGCATGAGGCAGCCAAACAGACCACAGGGAGAAGCTTGTTTTGAGCACAGGAATGTTCTAGATCACCCAGCACTGCCTGTCCTTGTTGGACTGTTGATGGACCAGCCTCCAGTATGTGACCAGCTCTGTGATCCTCAGCAGAGCCTCAGCAGAACGTGAGGGGACGAAGGAGCGCGGGCTCACTGGACTGTCTCTGTCCTGAGCTCGCACTTTCATTTCCTGGTGTGTCCCGCCTGGTCCACGGCGCACCGGTCCTTTGCCCCTCCCCTCTGGTCTGATGCGGAGCTGTCAGTGTCCCTCCTGCTGCTTGGACGCCCTGCTTTTGTGGCCAGAGGTGGTCAGATGGGCCACCTGTGGGCAGTAGGGCTTCCTGGACAGGCGGGGTCATTGCTGCCCTGGGGTTGCCCAGATGTTATGAGGACCAAGGGGGGCTTTGAGGAGGGGGGAGCCACGTGTGAAGGATGGAGGGGCTCAGATAGGAGCGTGGACAGAGGACAGAGCCGTCTGCCTCCCTGTGGGCACCCCAGAGTGCATCTGAGCCTGCAGGGAAGTATGCTAACAATTAGTTATTTTATAAACAATATGATTAGGTTATTCTCAGTGTTTTTCTGTGAGGTTTCTGTTGGTGACAGTGAGCCGGCGCATGCCCTTGGTTAGGGGATCAAGGAAAGGATGGTCTGCACAGCCTGAAGGGCCGATTGAAGCGGGTCTGCAGGAAGCAGGGCTGGGGCCTTCCTCCGCCTGTGCCTCACTGAGCAGGTGTGGCCCAGAAGGTGCTCCTGCCCCACGGTGCAGCTCACCACTGCCTGGGCCTGACCTGGTTTAGTTCCAGGAATTACCAGGGAGGGGCTCTCAGTGGCTGGCCGAGGGCGGGTGCCTACCCAGCCAGCGAGCTGTAAGAGGCAGTGACTTGCTGGGCCAGGGTCAGGGAGAGGTCGGCTCCGGTAGGGTCCTCCCCACTGGCCTGGATTCTGTGCTGACCCCTGGCTGGGCCAGGTCGGCGTTCCTCAGCCCCTGCCTCCCGCAGCCTTTGTGTTTGCGCTTGTGAAGGAGAAGAAAGGCCGTGATGGGTTTCAGCCGATGCAAGGTGGCTGGTGACAGTGCGGGTTCTGGGCGAGACTTCTCCTGGAGGAGGGGACGGGGTGTGGGGCGACCCAGCACTGACGGGGCTGCCCTCACCCTCCCAACAGCTCTTCACCCGGATCTTCGGGGTCGGAGTGAGGACTGCTGACCAGTGGTACCGGGAAGGACTGCGGACGCTGGACGACGTCTGGAAGCAGGTGCAGAGACTGACCCAGCAGCAGAAAGCAGGTGACCGCACTGTGGGCTCCCCCCGCTTGGGCCTGAAGGTTCGCACCCCGAGTGCTGAGGCTGCCGGTGGGGTCAGAGCAGAGGGTTGTGGGAGGCACGGGTGAGACGGTGCTTGCTCCCCAGAGATGGAGGTCCTCCTTGTGCCTTTTATCAGCTCCGGCCCCACCTCACCGAGGCCAGCGTCGTCAGCACACTGTGGTCTAAGATTGAGGTCAGAGAGCTGGGGGAGGGCCCAGGGGACCTCTGTGATTTCTTTCAACTGCCCGTGAATCTACAGTCATCTCTAAATAGAAGTTTGCTGTTTGAAAGGGAGGAGGGATGGTGGAGAGGAGGGTAGAGGTGGTGGTGGGTGGGTCAGAGCAGCTGACTGTGCCCATAGGCCTCCAGCACTACCAGGACCTGAGCAGCCCCGTCCAGCGGCCAGATGCCGAGGCCCTGCGGCAGGTGGTGGAGGCGGCCGTAGGGTGGGCCCTTCCTGGGGCCACCGTCACCCTGGCTGGTGGCTTCCGGAGGTAAGGCGATGTGCATGCGGCTGGGCTCCGGGCGACCCCTGAGGTGGACCTTCCCACACGCCAGGGTCTCGAGGGAATGGGAGACCCTGTCCCTGGGCTGCCTGGACGTCAGACCCGACCCTCAGGGGGAAGTTGCAGGGCCATGACGTGGACTTCCTCATCACCCACCCCGAGGAGGGCCAGGAGGTGGGGCTGCTGCCCAGGGTGATGCACTACTTGGAGCAGCAGGTGAGAGCTTCCCTGCCCTCCAGGGAGCTGCTGGGCCCCGCCCTCCAGCCGCATGGACAGTGGGTCACACCTGCCCCTCCCCCGCCCCAGGGCCTTGTCCTGTATCAGCAGCATCAGCGCAGCCCCAGTGGAGACCCTGCCCGCCTGGCCCTGAAGGGCCACTCCATGGACACCTTTGAGCAGAGCTTCTGCATATTTCGTCTGCCAAGGCCCCCAGGGACAGCCGAGGGGGGGACCTGGAGTCCCCACCCCTCCTGGAAGGCTGTGCGTGTGGACCTGGTGGTCGCCCCCATCAGCCAGTTCCCCTTTGCCCTGCTGGGCTGGACTGGCTCCAAGGTAGGCAGTGCGTGTGGGGCTGGGGGCCGGGCTGTGGCCCTGCTGACGCTTCTCTTCCCCCCAGCATTTTGAGCGGGAGCTCCGCAGATTTAGCCGGAAGGAGCGGGGTCTGTGGCTGAACAGCCATGGGCTGTTTGACCCGGAGCAGGTATGTGGCCGGGGCAGAAGGCAGGGGGTCCTGGACCCGACAGAGAGGGTCCTGAGGGGAGCCGCATGGTGGAGGCCCCGCACCAAGGCCCACACTCTGTTGCAGAAGACCTTTCTCCAGGCGGCTGCCGAGGAGGACATCTTCAGACATCTGGGCCTGGCATACCTTCCCCCAGAGCAGAGAAACGCCTGATCCCCCCTGCGGCCCTCAGCCACTCCTCGGGATGGGGGGCTGCTCAGCCAGCCAGATCATGGATGCCCTTGGACACTGACCATCTGCAGGCCGGAGAGGTTGCTGCAACCCTCACCCTCCTGGGGGAGCCCCTGTGCACCCCCACTCCCCCATGCACACCCTGCCCAAGATGCAATGAAATGATAACATGGAGCAAACCAGGCTGTTTTCTGAAAGTGTTGATGTGCGAGGGGGTGGAGGGGTGGGGGTGGGGGCTGGGGCGCCTCACCACCCGCTGTTGGTGAGGTGGACCCCATGGCTGTGTGACCCTGGGGTCCTGAAGGGTGAGCTGGGCATCTGGAGAGTATTGCCATGGTTACAGTACTGTCTTCCAATCCATAAACACAAGTACCTCTCTGTTTATTTAGATCTCCTTTAGTTTTAGTGATGCTTTAAAGTTTTCAGAATAAATTTATATTAAAAATTTATAAACTTTAATAAATTATTACATTTATTACTAAGTATTTTATTTTGATGTTATTTAAGTGGAATTTTATTAATTTTGCCTTATGATTGTTCAATAGTGTGCAGACATACAGTTGATTTTTTATCGTGGAACCTTGCTGAATTTTTATTATATCTGATCACCTTTTGGAGGATTCCTGATGATTTCCTACAGACAAGGCCATGCCACCTGCACACAGAGAGCTTTGCTTCTTCCTTTCCAATGTGTGTTGTGCCGCGCCAGCACCGCCACGGGTGAACCTGAGAGGGGCCGTGAAGGATTGAGAAAAGACAGACGAGAAGAAAGCTGAGGCTGGGTGGGACGCTGCCCTCTGATGGAGAGACAGCACCACAGCCTGCAAGCCAAGTCTTTATTTTATAGCAGATCCCACGAGGCAAAGTAAGGGTGTGGTTACAACGTTCCCCCGGGTTTCGAATCGACTCAGTTACATGCACCTGATCAAGCTCTGTTTACTTGCTGCCCCTCCCGCAGCCCACATCACTCTGCCAGGTGGGACCACAGGTTCGGGCCATAAGGTCCAGCTTACAGCTGTAGCCTTTGGCTGTAATTGTGCTGTGCCCTCTCATTAGTCCGAGGCTTGAACCTGTCCAAACGCTGTAGCCGCTCTCCACAGCGGGTGCCTTTTATTTCCTTTTCTCACCTAACGGCCGTGGCCAAGACCATCATGTTCCTGATTTCAGTCTTTCACTGTTAGTACCGTTGTGGCCGCACGTGACAGTTCCGTCAACAGAGGACTGCAGGCACCGCCGTGGCCCGTAGATCATAACGGAGCTGAGCTTCCTATGAAAAATGGAAGGAAAAAAATAAAAATAAATAAAAAATAAAGAAATGGAAGGAGATGTGGTTCAGAAGAAATTATTTTCTCTGATGGGAGCAACATCTGTGGGCCTGGCAAGTTCCCTCTCACGCACCTCAACTTTGAGTGCACGGATTATACCTGACCAGGCAGCCACGGGCCTGCTTGTGCCCAGAGGAACCTTCCTCCCACTTCCTGTTCAGAGGACTCTCAGCTCCATGGTCCCCAGGGTACATGGCTGTGCATTCTTTGTGGGGGACCCTGTACAAGGACTCAGTCCACAGGAGCCACCCTGACAAGTTGTGGGTGCCACTGCCACTCCAGTGAGAGCTCTCTGTGGTGTGGAGGCGGCCCGTCCCTGTGCTGTGGAAATATTTTCAGGTGGTTGACTATCAACCTATGAACCAGGAGGTCACAGTTTGATTCCTGGTTCAGGGCACATGCCTGGGTTGCAGGCTCGATCCCCAGTGTGGGGTGTGAGGAGACAGCCAATCAATGATTCTCATCATTGATGTTTCTATCTCCCTCTCCCTCCCTGAAATCAATTATATATATATATAATTATATATATATATATAGTAGAGCAGCTGAATGGATTATAAAAACAAGACCCACCTGTGTGCTGCCTGTGAGAGATTCGCTTCAGCTTTAAGGACACACTGAGAAAGTGGAGGGATGGAAAACAATACTTCATGCAAATGGAAGCCAAAAGGAAGCAGGACTATACCTACATCAGACAAAACCGGCTTTATTCAAAGTCTCTAAGGGGACAGAGAAGGTGGTTACATAATAAAGGGGTCAATCCAGCAAGAGAACGTAACACAGGAGCACCGACATAGATGAGCACACACTACCAGGCCCGAGGGAGAAAGGACGGGGTACAGACCAGCAGGACTTCAGAGCTCCCCTCTCCACAGTGGGTAGATCATCCAGACAGAAGATGAGGAAAGTTTGGGCTTAAACAACACAGTCCACACACGTGTACATTCACACATAGGCCCATGCAACACAGACGTGAGTGCAGCACACAGGCACGTATGCACAGTCCACACACCTGCACAGCCCCCCTTGACTCCAGGTGCTTCCTCACAGCATGTGGGTGGGCTCCCAGCTGTGCTCAGGGACAGGAGGAAGCCGGGGTGGGCTGGGGGAGGGGAGACTTTGTGCCTGTGTCATGTGCCAGGCCCCTGGGAGGGAGGGGTCCCTGGAGAGACCTTGTTTCTGCTGTGCCCACCCCTCAGGCTGGTCCAGGCCAGGGCTTCCGTCCTTCACTCCCAGCCCTGCCCAGCAGCCGTGTCCCCCCCCCCACACACCCCCTGGGCTTTGGACATAGTGGCTGTGGAACTATTTTAAGTCCATCTCGGCCCACCCTCCCCTGAGAGTTGGAGAGTTTGCTGCTGGCCACCTGCGGCTGCCTGTCGGCCTGGAATGCAGATTGGCAGTTGGCCGGGTGGGGGTGGGGAGGAACTGTTATAAAGCTGGTGCCAGGGCAGAGGCAGCTGTCCTCCTCGGGAGCCTGCCACCGTCCCCAGCACCGCAGCCATGTCCACCCACCGCCTGGTGATGGTCCGGCATGGCGAGAGCACCTGGAACCAGGAGAACCGCTTCTGCGGCTGGTTCGACGCGGAGCTGAGTGAGAAGGGGGCCGAGGAGGCCAGGCGGGGGGCCCAGGCCGTCAAGGATGCCAAGATGGAGTTTGACATCTGCTACACGTCGGTGCTGAAGCGGGCCATCCGCACCCTCTGGACCATCCTGGAAGGCACGGACCAGATGTGGCTGCCGGTGGTACGCACCTGGCGTCTCAACGAGCGGCACTACGGGGGCCTGACGGGCCTCAACAAGGCGGAGACGGCCGCCAAGCACGGGGAGGAGCAGGTGAAGATCTGGAGGCGCTCCTTCGACATCCCGCCTCCCCCCATGGACGAGAAGCACCCTTACTACAGCATCATCAGCAAGGTGGGCCACTCAGGGTGCCTGAGGGCAAGCCTGGGGTCAGGGGCCTTGGGAAGGGGCGGCCAGGTGGGGGGCCGGCTGCTGGGGATGTGAACTGTGCCGTGGACACCCCCAGGAGCGCCGGTACGCAGGCCTGAAGCCTGGGGAACTGCCCACCTGTGAGAGCCTCAAGGACACCATCGCCCGGGCCCTGCCCTTCTGGAATGAGGAGATCGCCCCCCAGATCAAGGCCGGCAAGAGGGTGCTCATCGCTGCCCACGGGAACAGCCTGCGGGGCATCGTCAAGCACCTGGAAGGTGAGGCCCACCTCACGTGGGACGTGGGTGGGGGTGGGAGAGTGACACCGGGCCCTGAACCTGCCCAGCTCGCATTTCAGCAGGTGCCCGCTGCCTGGTGAGGCAGCTCTGCAGGCCTCAGGGCCAGGGAGGGGCTTTCCAATGGAATTGAACAGGGAGGGTTGGGCAAACCATGTAGCAAACAGCTTTGTAGGATTTTGGCTTCATTTCTGTGCATGTCCTGGGACACTGTCGTTTCCTTCTGAAGACTGGAGGTGGAAAGGCCTCCCACTCTGACCCAGGCCAGGCCCTGCACAGGGGCTGAGGCCCTGGGCCACCCAGCTTCCTGGACGTGAGCCCTGGGCAGGTGGGGGTGCTGGGGCGGCATCTTGCCCAGGAAAAGCAGGGCTGTCGGCTCCAAACCCTGCTTTGCTGTGTGTCCCTGGTCCAGTCGTGTCACTTGCTGGGCCTCAACCACCTTCTGGGGCAGTGATGGCGAACCTTTTGAGCTCGGCGTGTCAGCATTTTGAAAAACCCTAACTTAACTCTGGTGCCGTGTCACATATAGAAATATTTTGATATTTGCAACCATAGTAAAACAAAGACTTATATTTTTGATATTTATTTTATATATTTAAATGCCATTTAACAAAGAAAAATCAACCAAAACAATGAGCTCGCATGTCACCTCTGACACGCGTGTCATAGGTTCGCCATCACTGGTCTGGGGCAACACCTGGTACTGCCCAGGGCAAAGCCCCGCCCCTGCCCCAGCTCCACCCACTCAGGCCGAGGTGAGACCACTCCAAGGGGGCAGGTGTGCAGCAGCCTGCAGACCCCAGGCTCACAGCTAGGCTCCTGCTGAAGCGCACGCGGCTCTCCTGGGGCTTCCTTGGCAAACGACCCTGACAGGACCTGGCCCTCCAGGAGTTTCAGACAGCGGGACAGTCTGTTAGCCTCTGATGGCCTTCAAGTTTGGGATCAAGAAGAGAGGAAGGAGGTGGGGTGGTGGGCAGCTGCCAGAGCAGACAGGCCGGCCCGGAGGCCTGGCCAGCTCCTGTCCTGCCCGGGATGCCAGGTCCCGCAGACCCCTCAGTGGTTACTGAGCTCAGCAGGCGGACAGACGATGCCCCCTCGTGCCAGCATGCTGGGAGCATGCTGGGGTCTCCACTGCTGGGAACTCGACTCCTCGCTTCCTGGGGGTGGAAATACCAAAGGGCGAGCTATTCCAGGCTGGGCCGGCGGGAGGCAGGCGGGTCGAGTTTCCTCAGAAAACACAGCCTTCTGCCTGGCAGAGCCTCTGCCCACCGGGCCCCAGTGACCCCCTGCTATCCCTCGCCCACCGTGTTGGGTAGCAGCACCCCTGCTCCCCTGCTCGGGAAGCCCCAGCTTAGCACTCCCTGTAACCGAATGGCTAATGTCCCAACTGAACCAAGCATTGGCCATCTGGCCGGAGTCCACACTGGGCCAGACCAGGCGCCGGCCCAGGACACAGCCCTTGGCTTTGCTGGCTATTTCTGTAGCCTCGTCTCCGGTCTGCTCTGACCTTCTCAGGCACATGTCTCCAGCCCTGCGGTTGGCAGGGAGGCCATGCCGGCCGACCAGCTGTGGCTCCCAAAGGTCAGCGGCTGGTGGACAGGCCAGGAGGGTTGAGGCCTTTGGTTCCTCCCATCCAGGGATGTCGGAGCAGGCGATCATGGAGCTGAACCTGCCCACGGGGATCCCCATTGTGTACGAGCTGGACCACGCCCTGAAGCCCACCAAGCCCATGCGGTTCCTGGGCGACGAGGAGACCGTTCGTAAGGCCATGGAGGCTGTGGCTGCCCAGGGCAAGGCCAAGTGAAGCGTCCGCTCTGGCAATAAAGGCATCTCTCCCACCTCGTGTCCAGCGTGGCCCGCGTGCCCAGCGCTCACTCAGGGCCGAGATGCACAAACGCTGCCAAGGGGCGCCTGGCTCCACCTGTCTTCCCAGCCCATTGTGTAGGGACCTGGCCCCCATCCCTGGCCATGAGGTGGCTCTAACAAGTCCCTGTGGTGACCCCCAAAGCAAAAGACCCGCTTGGTAACTTTGCTCTAGGGCAGTGGTCGGCAAACTCATTAGTCAACAGAGCCAAATATCAACACTACGATTGAAATTTCTTTTGAGAGCCAAATTTCTTAAACTTAAACTATATAGGTAGGTACATTGTTATTAACTTAATTAGGGTGCTCCTAAGGCTTAGGAAGAGCCACATGTGGCTCGTGAGCCGCAGTTTGCCGACCACGGCTCTACTGCAGTGATGGCGAACCTTTTGGGCTCGGCGTGTCAGCATTTTGAAAAACCCTAACTTAACTCTGGTGCCGTGTCACATATAGAAATGTTTTGATATTTGCAACCATAGTAAGACAAAGACTTCTATTTTTGATATTTATTTTATATATTTAAATGCCATTTAACAAAGAAAAATTAACCAAAAAAATGAGCTCGCATGTCACCTCCGACACGCGTGTCATAGGCTCGCCATCACTGCTCGAGGGAGTCTAAGTGACCCAGCTGGCTCCCTTTAGATGCTTGTCCTCTGCTGTCTCCGAGTCCCTCTGCCTGGGGACACCTGACTCACGGGGCCTCCAAGCTGGGGGTGGGGGGCACTGTCGTCTTGTGGGAGAGAAATCAATGAGGCCTGCCTGCAGCCTGGCCACCTGCTTCCACCCTGGGGCCTCCTCAGCACAGCCTCCACCAGGGCACACAGGAAGTGGACTCTCCCGTGTTACTGGGTGCCAGGCGCCTCACTGCACACACACACGCACACGCACACGGTCCCGCCTGGGCACAGGCCCTGTGGAAGGGACAAGGCAGGCCCTCAGCCCTCCCAGAGAACAAGCGCAGGAGGCTCACTTCACTCACATCTTAAACCTTTTTTATTTTTTGATTTTTATTGATGAGAGAGAGAGAGAGAGAGAGAAAGAGACATCAGTCACATCTTAATCTTTATGCCTCGTCCAGGTGGCTGCAGCACTCCCAGACACCAGGAAGGTGGGTCTCACCCGGGGCCGCCAGGCTGTCACGGCATCGGAGCTGGGGCCTGGGTGGGCAATGCTGACTCCACGAACAGAGGTGGGGGCGGGGGGGGGGGCGTCTGGGACAGGGGGAGACGGCAGGTGTCGCCACAGGGCCAGCAGGCAAGAGCACAGATGTGTTTGCCGCTGCGCCCAGGTACTCAGGGGCCTTGTTGTCCCATCCCCAGTGCCCAGAGCCAGGCAGGGGACAGAGGAGCAGGAGCACGGAGCAAGACCCAGACCAGCTGCTGCTGCCAGAGCTGCCGGCACCGACTGGGCATGAGCCGCCGAGTCCACGACTCGGCTCCCCAACCACCACCCCTCAGAGCTGCAGGGAACAGGAAAGGCAGAGGCCCCTGCTGTGGGGGCTGCTGGAAGCGTGTGGGAACCACTGGGTTATTGCTGCATTTGCGGCCCATGCCAGAAAGAGGATGGGGTGCAGTATCATGCCGCCACCTCCAGCAGTAAGGCCATGTGGGGCGGGGACGAGGCCACAGGCAGCCTCACTCAATGAGCTCCACGTAGTTGGCAGGAAACATGCCAAAGTGGCCGTCGGGTTCGTTTTCGCGTCACCAGCCTTAATCGATTACTTTGAAGCCGTGATGAGGTTCTTGGGGTCAAAGGAAATCTCGGTCTTATCCGCTGAAAAAGAGGAGAGCCCGATGCTTCACTGGGAGCCCCAGGCACCCGCCCACCCGTCCCCCACACTGTGCCAGGGGCCTTTCCCTACACACCTTCCCCTAGGGCCTGGCTCTGGGCCCGTCCCAGCCAAAGGCTGGAGACAGCACTTCCTCCCGCACCAAGGCCACCCCCAGAGCCACCTCTCAGTCACACCTTCAGGCTCTACGACGAGGGTGGCACAGGGGAGTCACGCTGTGGATGAAGAGCTGCCTAGGACCCACAGAGAGGCCTGCTCCTCTCTCGCCCTCCTGTCTTCTGACACCCCTGGGGCTGCCCCCCTGAGGAGCCTGTGGGGGGGGGGGGTTGGCACGGTACCTGCCTGGTAGTCGTACAGGGCCCGGGCACAGAGGCCCTTCCCGCTCAGCCCGGGGTAGTGGTCCACACGCACAGAGCCCATGTCCTGCTGCTCCCCCTGCCGGACCGGAGAGAAGTCTGTGCCCAAGGCCAGGCCTTGGGGACCTCACAGTGCTCCCCACCCAGAACCTCACACACAGCTTATCATCGCACAAGCGGCTCCAAATTTAAGGGAGTGAGCCTCCCAGGTGTGGCTGGGGAGGCCGTCTCAGGGCCCAGGTCCTCGCAGCCCTGACCCAGGTGCAGGGAACCCACCGTGGGGGGCTCCTCGTAGAGGGTCTCCTGCTCTGGGGGCTCCTCGTACAGGGCCTCCTCCTCCGCCTGCACCAGGCACTCAGGGGCACGGGGCGCGGGCTGCTCACAGACACCTGCAAGGGCAGTGCAGCCGGCTCGGACCCTGGGGAGGGAGAGGACACCCCGCCTCCCCCCACCCCAACCCCCAGGATGGCCGAGAGCCTTGCCTGCGCTGGGCCTTGAGGCGGCGTGAGCCCTCTCCCCGCCGAGGGGGCTCTCTGGCTGGGGGAGCTGCCTCTGTAGGAAGGGGCTCCGCAGTTTGCCTGCAAATCGACAGTGAACAGGACTCACAGCGGCAGGGAGAACACAGCCCTGATCTCTCTGGGCCCTGCTCACCCACCGGGACTGGATGGGGACTCTCCCTCTGCAGCCCCTGGGGGCATGCGCAGTGCGGGGGAGCTGGCTGGAGGACTAGTCCTGTGTCCTTTGGGGGCCGGAGAGGTGACTGCTGTGGGCCCCTGGGACCCAGCTGACAGCCAAGTGTGATCTCTACCAGGGCTTATGGGGCCGGGGCTGGAGGTCCCCACCCTCTCCTCCAGGTCTGGCTCTGCAGGAGGTCAGGGCAGATGCTGTCCTCACGTACAGGTGCTCCTGGCTCACTTGTCCCTACACGTCCCTCGCCTAGCCCTGCTCAGGACAGGGCCAGGCACAGAGAACTCTCACCTGGCTGGGGGCTGGAGGTGGATGCGGTGGACACGGCTCTCTCCTTCTGCATGAACATCTGCCGAGGTGACTGCTGACCAGGCTCCTGGGGGCACGCACAGCCCCAGGGTGAGCGGGAACCGTGAGCCTGCCCACCTCCCACAGTGCTGGGGCTCACAGCCTCCCCGGGATGGGGTGAGGTGCACCCACACATCCCAGGTTCCCACCTGCAGGGCAGCTCGCAGCGGGCGGCCTCCACCCAGTGCGGGACGGGCCCTCCGGTGTGAGCACCCCTCACCTGTTCCTCTCTGCTCCTCGAAACCACTTCCTGCTGCTCAGATTTCCTGCTGGGAGGGCAGAGGGCAGCGCTGAGCCTCTGCCTGCTGACCCCGGGCAGCCCCATCTCCCCGGGGCTCACCTCTGCCTGGCCTCCTGGCCCTGCTCCTGGTAGCGCTGCTCCCGGAGGGCGGCCTCCCGCAGCTCCCGCTCCCGGCGCTCCTGCTCCAGCTGCTGCCGCTCCTGCTCCGCCCGCTGCTTCTCCTGGGCCCGCCGCTGCTCCTCCTCCTCCTGCAGGGAGCGTGCTCAGCCCAACCCAGCGCAACTCTAGCCTCCTCACTTAACCCGCTAACCCCTGGGGTTAGCACGGACGAGAACATCGCACCAGTTTTTTGTTTAATTTATCTTTATTGTTGAAAGTATTACAGACGTCCCCCCTTTGTCCCCCTCCCCTCCGCCCCCCCCGCCCCAGGCCTTCACCACACTACTGTCTGTGCCCATGGGTTATTCTAGAGCTTGTTATGAGAAAACTGGCAGAGAGAGAGTGACGTGCTTACTCCATGCCTGGCCACACTGGACGCTCCACAAACGCCCGCAATCACTGTCGCGCTGGCAGCACTCACCTCTGCTTTGGCCCAGAAGCTGTCTTTGCCGAACCTCTTGATCTCTGACACGGCATTGGTCTTCTGGTACACGGAGCCCTGCGGGGACGGGGACAGAGTGCAGGGCCCAGGCAGGGACTGTCAGGACAGCACCCGGCAGACGCAGTGTCCCCAGCCCAGTGCCCGAAGGAGGCTGATAGCAGGTTGGCCTGAAGGCCGTGGACACTGCTGAGCAGGGAGGTGCAGCCCACACAGCAGGTGGGTCTCTGGCTGCGCCAGGCCCTGTGGGTGAAACCAGGGCAGGTCTAGGGCTTACCTCTAGCCAGGAGCCATTCCTAGGAGGATGGCCCCCCAGCTGCAGACAGCTGACCACCATGGCGGCGCCCACCACATCCCTATGGGCCCCTGCTTACTGTCAGGGGTCTCGGCTCCCCACCCAGCACCAAGGCCACAGGCCCACAGGCGTCTGCCCCGACTAAGAGGGGCCTGCCCTGTCTGCCACTTGTTCCCCCACGGCAGCCACCACACAGGACACACTGGTGCTGTGGCCTTGAGACCAGGCAGGCAGGAGACAACCCGAGGGATCAGGTGCCGAGGTCGAGGCAGCCGTCTGGTCGCTGGGAATGCCCCGCACCCACGGCCCCAGCCCCACTCACCACTGGGGCCTGAGGGCCCATGTCCTGGAAGCGGCTACTCTCCCTGTGGAAAGTGTAGTTGGCACCCGAGGCCCTGGCCACCTTCTGCATGATACACTCAGGCTCCACGTCCTCCTCGGCCCTTGCATTGATGGTCACGTGGGCGCCCTGCAGTGAGAACAGTGGCTGCAGTTCCAGGAAAGACCGCATGCTGTCTGCAGGTTAGGACCCGTCTTGCTCGTGCGTGAGGCCCTCATGTCTGAAGCGTGTCCTGTGGCTCTGCCTTGAGCAGATGGCTCAGGCATCAGAGGGTTCTTTCTCATCACTGACACCAGCCCTGACAGACGTGTAGAAGCCAGCACACATCATCTACACGGGCCACTGACCGCGGAGGAGCCAGCTCTGGCCTCTGCCTGTCACCAAACACCCAGTGACCCTCTCTTCCGGCTCCTAGCTGGAGAAATGGAGGCACATCTGAGGAAGTGTTGGCAGAACTGGAAATCGAAGTCCCGGGTCTCCTTGCTAGTGACCAAGGAAATGCAGTCACCTGACCCTCAAAAACAAATGCTTTTGAAACCACACAAGGTTCCATTTATGACTGACATGCAGAAACGGATGGGAACCAGTGCATCGAGGGGACATGTGTGGGCACTGCACCTCCTCAAATCCCAGCATCACGGCTGGGCCCTGTTCACAGCACTCAGGAGGCCGGCAGGAGCAAGGCCTGCCAGGACCAGCTCCCGCCCGCACGGTGCTCCCCGTAGTCCTTGGCCCCGCCTCCCCTGAAGCCATCCCCAGGCCCCTCTGCACACTCGCTGAGCAGCCTCCGTCACACTGAGGCCCAGACAGAGCAGGACGTGGGGCACACCTCCAACTCTGACTGTGGGTTCCATCGCTCATTCCACGCACACGGGGCCTGAGGAACTGAGGCCCTGCAGGGACAGCCCTCACCTTCAGGAAGCTGGCCATGGTGCTGACGTGGTTGGCACACACACCCTTCCGCACATCGTTCACGCCCTCGCCCGTCTGCAACACAACACACCCAGCATGACCTACCCATTTCCTAAAGCCACTGCCCTCCTAGGGACTTGGCCGTTTGTTGGGGCAGCTTCCACTATGGGGCATTGAAAAGCCTTGTCCCCACCGCCCGCCCTGCACTCCCAGAGCCTCCCCAGCCTTTCCCAAGCCCTCAGCTCCCAGGGGACGAGAACAGGGTGTCCTGTGGTTGTTGGTACTTCATTCTGCAGGAGTATTTCTGGGCTCGGAGGGAGTGAGGGGCCCTCTCTGGGCCACAGTGAACTAGCCCTCCGGCTGTGAACTCTCCTCTGCTCCAATCACTCAGGGCGGGAGGGAGAGAGAGCGTCCTGGTCACACCTAGACAGGACCTGAGCCCCAGGTTTCACATACCCAGTTGATGAGGACAAACTTGGGCAGGCCAGAGTTGGGGTCCTTCACCCTGCAGAACGCGTACATCACCTTCCCGCTGTTGAGCTCCTCCACCACCTCCTCCAGGCCCCCCTCTGCAGCAGTCACAGGAGGGTCACAGGCAGCAGGCACCCCGCCCACCCAGGACCCCACCCATCAGGAAAGGAAGCCCAAGCTGCCTCCTGCATCAGAGTAAGATCCTGGCCTGAAGGGCAAGCCGGCGGATGCAGGACTGTGCTGACGAAACTCCGGTGACTTTTATCGCACTAGTGTAAACACCATTTTGTAAAATAGAAATGAGCCCTGGTTGGTGTGGCTCAGCAGTTGGAGTGTCAGCCTGTGCACTAAATGGTCACATATCTGATTCCTGGTCAAGGGCATGACCTGTGTAGCAGGTTCGATCCCCAGCCCTGGTCAGGGTGTGTACAGGAGGCAACCCATCGATGTGTCTCTCTCACGTCAATGTTTCTCTCTCCCCGTACCTCCCTTCTTTCCTGGACCCCACAAAGGGCCCTGCCCATGTGGCTGCTCAGACTACAGGGCCACCTTGGAGGGCTGTGAGCAGACAGGACCGACCCTCAGGGCTCAAATCTTAGATGCTCACAGGAAGTGACGGGGCAGGAAGGGCTGCCCAAGACGTTCTCTCTGGACCCTGAGACCGAGGCCCACCATGTGCTAGGGTTTGCGGCTCTCACCTGCCTTGCACACCTCCCCAGATTGTGAAGAGGGGCTCAACTGCTAAACCCTGCAACGGTCGCCCGTGGCATCCCAGCACCACGGGCGTCCCAGCGCATGAGGCCACCGCAGTGGCAGTCCTTCTGGAAAGAGGGCAGGGGGGAAGGTGCTGGAGAGAGGGTGGGGCTCTCTACCAACAAATCCTCAGAACCAGCCGCTGGGGGCAAAGCTGTGCCTGGCCCAGGTCGGGGAGCTGGCCACGAGCACAGGAAGCCAGGCACCTCTGGGGGCTGCAGCTCGCCCCGCTCCCACCAACTCTGGCCAGGGGAGACCTCCTTATAAGACCGCCCGCGGACACGCATGCCAGCAGTACTTTTCCAGGTCCCCCCGTCCCAGCTGAGCATGGGCACTGTTGCACCCCGACCCATCAGATGGGGCGGAGGGAAAAGTGCGTCTGCTCTTCCTCCTCCACCTCCAGCCCAGGCCACCGTGAGCTCTCCCAGCTACAACACAGGGCAGCCCTGCCTGGCACCTCAGGCCAAGAACATGGAGGAGGGCTTACTTTTACTTGGAAATCCCCGAGACCCCCCATCCTGCCTGATCAGGGGCCAGAGAACTCCTCAACACTGCCTGCCCAAGCCCTCCTGCTGCTGGGAGGGCAGAGATGCCACTGGAGCTGGGGCCCTGACAGCCACTCTCCCTCCACCCCCTCACCCTCCCTCCGGGAGCCCCTGGATCCCCCTGGCCATACTCACCCCCAGTGCCAGCCACACGGATGTCATTGCTGTTGCCTTCATAGGTAAACAGAGCCCTGAAACAAAGCAGGGGGGCTCTGTAGCCAGCACCGAGGGCACTGTCTGCCATCATCCCTGACAGCTCAGCATGGCCGTCTCTGTGGGCCAACACGGGCCCCACCGTGGCCCACTGTGCCTGCCGAAGCGTGGCCTTCTCAGCTCTGAAGCTGCGACGATGCTGGCCTGCCTGACCATAGGGGCATGTGAGCGATGGACCGGACGGGAGCGTACATCCACTCTGAGGAAGGCTGAGCCTAAGGTGTCATGGCAACTGTTTCCACATGCACGCGTGACACACTCGCCTGGCTGCCAGGTGTGTGAATTTGAAAAGTCAAAGACACCTGCACATTCCTGAACCCAAAGCACAAAGGAGAAGCAGGAAGGAGGGATTGGCACCAGGCCCCTGGGAAGGTGCTGCCCCCTGGGCACGTCTGCCGTCTTCTGGGGCCTGCAGGCTGGTGCAGCAGGTCTGTCTGGGTCGTCACTCCCCTGACAAAAAAATGTGCAACACCAGAACCACAGGGGTCATGACTCAGCACGGCCCCTGGTCCTCAGGGGACAGGGTCCTTGTGGGGCAAGATCTAGACCAGTGGTTCTCAACCTTGGCTGCACATTAGAATCACCTGGGAATCTTTTTAAAATCCTGATCTAGACCAACCAGAGTCTTCCCTCTGCACAGGTGACCCTGCCCACACCACTCTTCATCCTGTAAGACTAAGTATTCATAAGAACTCTGGAAGAGATTTGGGCTTAAAAACATGTGCCCCAGAGGTGTTTAGGAAATAAGGTAAATTTTACTAAATGAGAGATACATATGGAAGGCTCCTTGCCAGAGCACAGGCCGGCTGAGCCAGCCGGACAGACCAGGATCCACGGCAATCAGTCTGACGGGAACCAAGTCAGCTCCTGCTCGGCTCCCCACGGCCCTGCTGACCCCACTGGGCGGAGCTGCCTCGACTTTCGACCCAAGAAAGTCGGAGGAAACGAAATCCGATCCAGGCCCAGGGGATCTGGTTGACAGGAGGACACGCTGCCAGGAAGGAGCAGTTTCCCAGGAGAGGAGAGAGAATATGGAAGGAGAGAAAGAGGGACAAAGAAGACCTGGCAGGCGGTAGACCTCCCAGAGAACTTTCTGGAAGAGGTGGCTTTCCGGTAGTGCAGCCACCAGCACCAACTCTGCAGGAGCCCAGCTCCAGGCCGTGCTGTCGGACAGCGAGTCGATGGGGAAACCTGGTCTAGCATGTCCTCTCCCCAACGGAGGAGAGAACGCTATTCCCCCTGAAGGCCACAGAAGTCAGGAGCACAGACCAGCAGCAGGGACAGCGATGGCCGCCCAGCCGTGCTCTTCCAAGAAGGGACGCAGCAGCTCCCAAGAGCCACGCTCCGTGCCTGCCCCCATCCTCTGGCCTCTCTCCTTTCTACCCTGGGCTCCAGCCTTAGCCATTCTTGGATGTTCCAGGTCAGAGGCTCATTCCCACATTTCCTCAAGTCCCCGCTTCTTTCTGATGAACATGAAAAGAGGGGTTCCTGGCCTGTTCATGGCACATGAAGCATGGGGCACTGGACACCTTATAATCCAGTCATTCCTTCCAAACACACTGAGAACCTGCTGCCTGCTGGTGATGGGAATGTAGCCACAAGAAAGCCTCCGAGAGGGACACACAGCCACACGAGCACTGCCAGGTGGAGGGGTGCAGGAGCTGACCCAGGCTGTGATCTAGGGAAGAATGACCAGGGAGAACCAAGAGAAAGAGCCAAGGTGCAGAGCTGATGTCCCCACAGGCCTCAGGCCTGGCCCAGGATCACCCAGGGCTGTGAACCACACCGGAGACCACCTCTTCTTGCTCTGATACCAGCTTTCCTGTCTCCCTCATTCCACCCTTCTTCTGAGCACTGACCACACACCACAGCCCTGCACCAGGGACAGACAGGGCCCACCATGCTGCTTCTGGAAAAGAGAAGGCAGCACAAAACCAAATGGGTCTGGAGAAGCTGGGAAAATGGGACCGCAGCCAGGGGCCGAGGCAGTGAGGAAGCCCCTGCAAAAAGGCCACTGGGGAACTGAGAACAACTTTGGGGGGGCCCTGGGATGATGTGGAAGGGGGGCACTCCCAGCAGAAGAGGCAGCCACAGCAAGGGCTCCGAGGACGGATCAGCCTGCAAGTCTGAGGAAGAGAAAAAGAGGAAGGGCCCCGGGAGTGGCGGTGAGGAGCTGGGCAGTCAGGGCCTGTCAGCCAGGTGTGGAGTCTGGGCTTTATTGAATGAGCGACGGCAGTCACTGCAGGGTTACAACAGGGAGTGGGGACTTGCCACACAGTATCTGCTGACAATGATGGCAGAGGCCAGGGGCACAGCCACTGGAGCCCAGGGGTGGGGAGGAGGCTGGTGAGATGGATGGGCTCTGATTGGTTAGGACAGCGGTCGGCAAACTGCGGCCCCTTGAGTGTGGCTCTTCCACAAAATACCACGTGCGGGCGCGCATGTACAGTGCGATTGAAACTTCGTGGCCACACTCAAGGGGCAAAAGAGCCGAATGTGACTCGCGAGCCGCAGTTTGCCGACCACTGGGTTAGGAGGAAAGAGGAAGCTTGGCACCCTCAGAGGAGGGGGGGCCTGGGGGGGGGGTTTGCAGGCAGCTCTGGGAAGCAGCTCAAGGAAAGGCTGAAACATGGGAGGCCTGAAGAGGGACCCCTGAACTACATCATCCCCAAACCAGGGACAGTCGCTGAGAAAACTGAGGATAAAGAGAGACCTGGAAGGCCCACAGGACACCCAGGAGTCCTCCAGGTAAGTCAGAAAGGGCTGCACCCCAGCACGCAAAGGAGCAATGCCCTTAACCGGGAGGACTGGCGAGGGCTGCAAAGTCAGGCTGCGTGAAAGCCACCTTGCTGGGCACCAGGGGAAGCAGCGAGGAGAAAGCAGCACTTGACAAGTGGAGACCGGTCCCAGCAGCGCAGCTGCACCCCGCGGGCCCTGCCCCGAAGTGGGGCCTCTTAGTCCGCCACAGCTGGCATTTCTGACCGGACCGGCTCAGAACCAGCCCGGGAAAACCATGTAAGCAAAGGGGCTGCCCAGTCACCCCAGAGACTCGGACCAGGCTTCCAGGGGCCATAAAGCCCCAACCTCAGGAGGCTACGGCCTCGCAGAGGAAGTGACCGGAGGTGGAGGTGGGGGTGGGGGTGGGGGTGGGGGGACGGCAGCAGCACCGACAGGCGGTCCTCTCCCCTGGGCTCCGGCACAGGAAGGGGTCTCCTTGGAGAAAGGGAGGTGCTGACACCTACGTGCACAGAGCAGGGACCCAACCCCCGACCTCCCTATTGGACGCCTCCGGGCAGGGCTCCGGTCCCGCCGGGCCGCCAGCCGCTCTCGGAGGCCCGTCCGGGGACTCGGCGTTTGCAAGAAGCCGGGCGTGGCTTCCGCTTTCTCAGGGGCTGGGAGGTCCCGGCAGCAAAGCAGAACCCGGCGCAGCCCCTGAGCGCGGCCCCCGAGCGCGGCCGAGCGCGGAGTCCGGGCCCGGGAGAGCCAGGCGGGGTGGGGAGGGCCCGGGGCACGCGGCGGGCACGGCGCCGGACCCCTCCCGGGCGCGGCGCAGGTGTGGGTGCCCAGGTGAGCCCGCCCGCCCGACCGGCCGACCGCCCGACCGCCCGCCCGCGGCCGCATGGCTCCGCCCCGGCTCCCGCCCCGGCCCGGCGCCCACCAGTCGGTCGGGGACTTCTCGGCGACCACGCGCGCGTAGGCCTCCTGCAGCGCCGGCCCGTTCCGGCTCAGGTTCGCAGCCATGGCCCGGCTCGTCCCAGCGCCACGGCTTCCGGGCCCGCCCCGCCCCCGCGGCCGGAAGCCCCGCCCACCCCGCCGGAAAGCCCCGCCCCAGCAGGAAGTGGGCGGGGCCTCGCGACTCCCCTGAGGGCGCGGCCCCACGTCCTAACAGCATCGCGGTGGGGTGGAGAGTCCAACCTAGGAACTCGGGGGGATGCAGGCATTCAGACCAGAGCAGCCAGTCAGAAGGATGGCGGCTTTCAGGGTGTCCACCCACAGAAATGCCAATGACCAGGAGGATCCCATCTGTTCCAGCCCCGCGTGGCCTCATGACTACAGAGCTAGAGAAATGGAATCATTTTTTCTAAAAAGAAACCTTGTTATGCTGCGTGGTCAGTGGAATCCAGTAAACAAATACTTCGCAGCTTGAGAGAAGAAGAAAACCTCACTGAGTCCCTGTGAGGGTTTGAACAGAGGCAGGAGGTGGGCGGGCTGCAGTCCTGGCCGGGTCTGGCACACAGGCCTTTGGGGGCAGTGGCTGCAGGGCCTCCTTTTAGGGCTGAGCGCAGCCACCACCCAGGACAAGATGGCTCACAAGCGGGGGAAGGCCCTCCTTCATTTGGGAGGAGGGCTCTCCAGCCGCCTACCCTCTTGCCTTGAGGGTCTCTGGCTTCTCAGGTCTTGCCTGAAGCCTCAGCCCAGCTTCCTGCTGTCAAGTGAGGGCTCCCAGGAACCAGCAGAACCCGCACGGAGGAACGGAACATACAGGCAGTGGGGATTTCGAAGTTTCACAATTTTGCTGACATTTTAACCCCAAATTGTCAACAAATCCATCAGTCCTTCCTGCTTCAGGATGAAGGCCTGCACTGCTGGGCACCTGACGCGGATGCAGAAATGGCCACACAAGGGTGGCAGCCCTGTCCTGAAGAGGGTGGGGAGTGAAGGTCTGAGAGAAGAAGCGAGAGGAAGGGGACAGCTTAAGGAAAATTAAGAAGCTGCTATCTAGGCTGATAGGTTTTGCAGATTCTTTATAGTTTTATGATTTTATTAGTAATAAACCTGTCAACAGGGAGAAACCTGGGTAGTAGGGACGGCAAGGCCAGGACTCCTGCCGTCATGGGGTGCTGACTGCCTTCCCTCCACTTTCAGAGGTCCCGCATTCATGACTAGATCTAATCCCGGCCCAGCCTTGCTCAGCACAGCTGGGAGGAAGCGTGTGCTTCAGTGACAAGAGGCACAGGAAGGAGGGGCTGGGGCCGGAGAGACCAGGGCTCCAGGCTGGTCTTGAGGCTTCCTTGCCTCCCTTTGGGTACCACAGACAGACCTCAGGCCACGAGTTCTGCAGGCCTGTCCTGCAAGCACTTGTTTGGCACTTCAGGAAACTATCTCCTGAACTTCACAGACAGAAACCTGCCCCCCCCCCCGCCCCCCCGCCTTAAGCAGTGAGGTGGTGTGGACACAGTTTCAGCTCTGAGCTGCGAGGCCGGGGACGTTTGCATCTAGCACCTTATCCCTGGTCAGGAGATTGTGACCCTTTGCCATAGTCTTGGAGTTCCTGGAGCCCGACGAAGGATCACGATCTCAGCGCTATCCCCCAAACCCAAGCGCTTCTGGCCATAGTTAATGGTCACTTGTTCACGGTGGATCGATTGCTTAAGGTCATGTATCTCCCTGATGTCTCTGGTCCACAGAGAAAAAAGCCACATTGGTTGTTTTTTTGGACCTGCTGTCCAGTTGGCCACCTGCGTCACACCTTAGAAACAGGATGTCTGCACACGTGGGTTACACGGGAGCTCCACAGCACAGGGCATCCTTTTTTTTTTTTTTAATATATATATATTTTATTGACTTTTTACAGAGAGGAAGGGAGAGAGAGAGATAGAGAGTTAGAAACATCGATCAGCTGCCTCCTGCACATCCCCCACCGGGGATGTGGCCGCAACCCAGGCACATACCCCTGACCGGAATTGAACCTGGGACCCTTCAGTCCGCAGGCCGACGCTCTATCCACTGAGCCAAACCGATTTCGGCCACAGGGCATCCTTGAAGTAAGATTTTTGACCTGAGAAACCCATTCTTCAGGCATGACAGGCGGGCGAGTTTCCTAGGGGGAGACACTCCAGGGGACTTGCCAGGATCACGCCGGGTCTGGCCCTTACAGCACAACTCAGGCTGGCAGAGGGTGAACAGCAGTTTGCACTGGGATCCCAAAGGGCTGATTTCACTTTCTCCACCATGTCTCCAACAGAGACAGCAGGCGAGGGGAATTTTGACAGAACTCAGGAAATTCATCAGCTTCTGGGAGTCCTATTACACTCGAAAGTGACCCAGTCTCAACACCAGGTCGAGCTGGGATTTCCCCTCTGATCCTCTGACTTGTCTCTGAAACGTGAACCTGCCCCACCTTCCTGTGCTTTGTGACCACTGTCTGATAGCCTTCCCAGGGGTCATGATAATGTCATTTTCCTGTCTATGAAGATTTAACATTTTGTTTAAGCAAAGACCAAAGGGGTGGCAAAGAGACAAAAATTAAAAAGGCAACCTCACCATGGTGACAGGCGGGGAACAGGCCCATAGTACCCCCAAAGTAGCCTATGGTATCAGGGTGCTGAATGGGGACCCCCCTAAAGGAAATGCACATGGCTCAGACTGCTGCCCAGGGCACCTTGGCAGTAAAGCTGTGTGACAACTGGGGACTCCTGGAGCAGGCTCACCTCCTGTGGTCACCTTTCCTCAATCCCAGCCTGCACAGGCCCCGCCTGGCCATTTGGGGGCGGAATTTCATGCTTCATCCCCTGCTCCTATTCACCCAAGTTACTTCCATGGCTGTCCTGGAGGGGACCACTTAGGAAAGACCAGGTCAGATTTGACTTTAGAGGTTTGAAACCCTTCAAATTTCCCCTCAGGAGGTTTAATTAGAACACTCCGCCTGCCCTTCTAGCTTATCTAACCTCAAAGCTCTGAACTCTAAGGACAACCCTTAAAATGTGTCGCCCCAGAAAACCATGAGGCGGCCAGCCACTCAACAGGCTGTTCTAATTCAAGGTCCCAAAGAACCTGTTACAAGTTTCCATATTTTATGTTTTGCCTGGAAAAAAAAAATAGACTCAAATGTCAGTTATCATTTAGGGGTACGCATGAATTACATTTTATTTACATTTAAAAGTCTCTCCCTGCCCCTGTGCTCTGGTCTGTGGGTGGCACACGCTGGACTTAGTGTAGGCTCCGTGGAGGGAGGGAGGGAGGGAGGTGGTGAAAAACCTCTTCCCACAGGAAGGCAAAACCCCACTCTCTCCAGGTCTTGCTTCTGAAAAGACAGTCATCTCCTGGTGTTCCATGCTTTCTATCCCGACACTGTTTGCTGCTTCTTGGTGTGAGGGACAGTTCCCAATTCCCTGGAGCCTCCTGGGATATGGTTTATGGCAGACAGGATGTGAGGAAAGCCTGCCAGCTCTGCCCTGGACGCCCAGGTTGGCACTTAGTCCCAGAAGGTGAGGGCCAGGCTGTGTGATGCCACAGCCAGTGATGCCACCATGAGTGAGGCAGGGTAGGGGAGGTGACAGCAAACTGTCCCCGAGTCCAGCAGTGAGTCGGGTGGAGGGACTGATTCCAGCGTAGCGAGGAGGCTGCAGATCTAACGGTGACTACTGCTTTGGCATCAGGATGGGATGGTATCAAAGCCACACGGCTGGAGAGGGTGGAACCATCATTCACTCGTGGAAGAGATGACACCCTATGGGAGGCTCAGCCAGGGGCTCAGCTTCTCTTGAGCAGTGTCCCCTGTGCAACCTCCAAGGCACTCACATAGCATATTTCTGTGTCCACTCTCGCGCCAGTTTGTTGTACCTGGAAGAAAAAAGCAGAGGGGCTGATGTGCTTATTCAAAATGGTCACTTCATTCAATGTCGAGGAGAGAACAGGACTAATACAGGGATGCTGCTGCTGGCAAACATCGAGGACTAAGGAGTGAGTGGAACAAAGGGGCCTGGCACGAAAATATGTCATAGTGCCTGTGAACCCCGCCCGTGGGAGTCCTGATGCTCCATAACTGCCTCTTGTGGGAGATGTGGTAATGCATCGACCATCTCTCTTCCTCTCTCCTGTCTCACAGCACCGACGAGGAGGGTCAGGAAAGGGGCTGCCCAGTGAGACTCCAGGACGCAGGCCTTGGAGCCTGGCCACCAGAGAGGGAGTCGTGTAAGCATGCGGCATGTGCGTTTATTCTCATTAGTGTAATGAGATCGCGTGCCATGGGACTGTAAGACAGATTTGTAGTTAGAGGGCAATGAAAAAAACCACTTTTGGTATATCTAAAGTATCTCGTAAGTGTTAAATAAATACAGTTCGTAATGTAGTCAATTAAAAATGTCTTTCCCATTCTGGAAAACTCAATGAGGGAAATAATGATCTCTATAAAGCTTTCAAGATTAATATAAGTTGGAGAAATCACATTCCATTCTAATCTCTTCAGACAAGAGAACTGATAAACTAAGAGACTCTCTGGAGATGTTCTTTAAGAGCCAGCAATTCCCCACCCTCCTACCACCACACCATGCACTGCTCACAGGCCAGGCTCCTGATGCCAGGGCCCCACCAGGAAGGCCCTTTCTCAGCAGACTGTCAATGCCAGAGGTTTTCCCATGGGGAGGTGAGGGCCCAGTCCTTTCCTCTATCTGCGTCCCCATCAAAGACACCCCCAGACCACAGTGCATGTGATGGTGCTGGCCTAATGGGTGGAGTTCTACGACTCTGGGTCTGGTCATCAGTGTTTAAACAGAGTTGAGGAGGCAAGGATATACAATGGGGTAAAGACTGACTCTTCAAGAAGTGGTTTTGGCAAAAATGGACAGATATGCAAAAAAATGAAACTAGACCACTTTCTTACACAATATACAAAAATAAAATCAAAATAAAGACTTAAATGTTATACCAAAACTATAAAACTCCGAGAAGAAAACAAATGGGACTACATCAGTGAAGGAAACCATCAACAAAACAAAAAGGCAACCTACTGAATGAGAGAAGATATTTGCTAATGCGACATTCAAATAAGGAACTCATACAAC